AGCTAGTTTGGGCGAGTTCTATCGAATTATTAAATAAATTTTTTTTGTTTTGTATAAGCTCATTATTGTCACAATATACTGTAAGGCTTTCTTCTGTTATATGAAAATACAATTTTGTATCAATATTGCCGCTATATTCGTGATGGCAATATAACAGAAAAACCTACTGACGAATTTTTTGTAAGTTACAAAGTGATCCTTTTATTTTAGCTTAAATAGCAGTATTGCATCAATCATATTATATTTCCATTAAAATTGCAATATTATATGGACTAACTACGAACAATATCAGTGCAACGTTATATACGGAACTATCAGTGAATTCTCAATCGTAATGTTGCATTAAAATATATACTTCATTGAGTTTGTTAATAACATCAGCTAACTACAAATTAATCATACGAGTATTATATATCCATCATATTATAAAAATATCACAAAAACTATCCAACCACAACATGCTCTTCGCATCTGACTGTACACTGTGTCCAATTTTTGATGCTTTTGCGTGATATCTCAGTTATTATATTTGGAGAAAGAACCTTGCGGTTTTTGCGGTCCTGTGCCACTTTTTTGTGAAACTCAAGATGACCTTATCAGATTTTGCATTACTGTTTCTGTTTATGAGATACAGGGCGATTTTGAACATTTATACTGTTTGAACCCCTGCAATATCTACGAAAAATCCCTAATTGAAATCTTATCTCAGAGAATTCAACGCAGAATCCAGTGGCGCACTAAATTACTTTTTCGGGGTACGGTTTTGCAGATACGACTCATACTTATGATTTTTTAGAGGAACACCCTGTATTTTATGAGCTAATTAAAATCCGTATTTTTTATTTAGTTCAATGATATTCATATTTCATTTTGTTGATTGTATGATTTTAAACCAATCAGATAACGTTCAATTGAATAAGTTACAAGTTACCTTGTATAATCTCGAATATACGTGTATATACATATAGTAACTCTTCCAATCAGAAATTCAGAATTATTGGCATTTCCATAGTACTTATCTTATTCATATGGTTACATACATATCTTGAAGTTCCTTATACTACTGATAATTTTTATCGTTGAGAATTTTTACTAAGTTTAATTTTATAGTCATATTTTATTTTGTTGAGAATTTTGATTTAGTTCAATTTTATATTCATATTTCAAATGTGGATATGGGCGAACACCCACTAAAAACAAGTAACCAGCCATGGTTGCCTCATGGGTGGTCTGGAAACTTAACCAATATTCAATACTCTCATGTTCCAAATTGGCTGTATAGGTAATTTTTGAACAATCAAAAATTCATGTAAAAACAGCTCTAATTTGTGGTAACGAAAAAAATATTTTACCCGCCACTGTGAGCTGCGGCTTGTCAAAGGATTTGCCAACATGCAGCTGGTCAAATTTTTTTGGCTTTTTCAACTGACTTCGTATAAACTATACATATGTGTACCGACAGGCTAAATGAGGGAGCAAACGCCTACTTTTGATTCAGTGAGTAGATAAAGGGTATCTACCTTTTTTTTATCACTTGGAGCGCACGAAAGGAAATTCCTATAATGTTCAAAGAACATCGTGCGTTCCTAGGGAGGATAGGGACAGGAGGTAGGTATTGGAATTTTTTTTAACTTCTGGAGATTATATGTTGTTGGGAATGAATGAATTCCAGAGCCTAGCCGTTCTATGGATGAAGGAGTTTTGATAAAGTGCTGTTCGACATCTTTCGAGGTTGACAACGAAAGGATGTGCTGACTGGGCTTGTCTAACTCGTCTAACTGGTATTGCTAGTGAAGGAATGATAGCAGAGATTTACGAAGAACATTTCCTGTGGAAGTATCGATAGAAAAGTGAAAGGTCGCCGACCTTTCGACGGTGTTCCAATGATGTCAAAGAGTAAGTGAAGTGTGAGTGTGGCGTCGCCCACCAGCCGAATGGCTCTTCTCTGGATGGAATCTAAGAGCATCAGTGTATGTTTTGGTGCTGAACTCCATATGTGGGAACAGTATTCTAGAACAGGCCGTATTTGCGCTTTGTAGATCATGAGAAGCTGTTGAGGTGTATAGTAGCTTTTCGCACGAAAAAAAACCGAGTTTTTGTGAAGCAGCTTTTGCGGCAGATCTGACATGATTATCCCATGAAAGAGTGTTGCTGATGGAATTCAACTATGTTGTTGGTTCCCCAGGCTGTGATTTCAGCAAGGTATTCATCGACAGCATTGACCTGTCTGCGCCGTGAGTTCTTAGTTTCTTGGGAAGAAATGGGAATTCTGGAAGAGAACGCAGTATGGAGGGTACAATATCATCTGCAAAGCTGTGGATGGGGCGAGTTGTTACTCCCAACAGATCATTGATATGAAGAAGGAATAATATTGGTGCCAACATTGATCCTTGTGGAACGCCGGAATTGATGCCAATGGTATCAGAAGAAACACGTGAAGCGATCTGCCTGAAAGAAAACTCGATAAGAGATGGCATAGCTACCGCGCGTAATTATTTGTTGCGTCCAGCCTCTAGCCGCTTGTGGAAAGGAACTGAACGATAGAACAAAGAATACCAATCTAATCAATCTGCCATTCATCAACCCGCCACTCAACAGTCGCATACACAAGGGTAATTAATTTTGCGGGAATTATACGCCTCTCTCCCTCGTCTCTAGTTAATCAAAGAAGTTATTTATGATCGTTTTAATTTCTGAGTGCATGCACACTGAAGCATGGTTAGTGTTGTGAGTAAGGGTGGTCAAAATTACTGATATTACTCTAATTCATTTCACAAGATTTTTTGGGATTTTCTCTCCTCGTTTCTACAATAATTACGAATATGTGTAATATTTCAATATACGTATGTCGAATAAGGGCAAATAAAATGATTTGCTGTATAATTCCGAATTACGAAAGTCTCAACAAGAAAAAGCCAATGATTCGTCACTTATTTATATCCTGTACTCTACTCAGATATACCTGATGAACTGACAAACATCTATTTCAATGCTTGGTATTACTATCAGCAATAACCTTTCTTGGAAAAATCACGTGAGATAACTTGCTGAAAGTGCATCCCAAAAAAAGTCTAAGCAGACATATAAAAAAAGAAATGGAGGAAAATGTCTAAAATCTAGAATTGTATTTTATGAAACGAGAATCTCTTGAATTGACAAAGATAACAAAGACAGTCAAAAAGTAAGAGCATCAAGCTGTAAGAGATACTATAGGGAAAGGAAAAAGTTCATAGTAAAGGTGAACTCATCACAGTTCGTCCGAGCTTTCGGAAATGTATATTTCCAACTTCAGGAAACCTATACAAATATAATTTGAATAGTGTACATTGACAATAATATCTAGGAATGCTCAAACGATATACTTTCACTGTTTGAGGATGATGATTACAATGGTTTTGAAAGAATTCGAAAGTCGATGTAAAATTTTTTTGGACATAACAGTGTCACGAAACATTTAAAATTCTTGTAAAAGACGTCAATCTGATGAATTGAAGTATAATTTTGGTGGAACTTCCAATATATGATCTTCGTCCTGTTTTATTGTTTCTTCACTGTGAGATTCTGCACGTCTGAAGCTATATCCACTGAATTTCAAAATTTTGAATGGAGACACACTCAGTCTGTGTTCCTTAACCTTCAATTATTTTCTAGAGAGGTTTCATAAGGTTCATCGATTTTGAATAAAGTTACCTACCTTCTGGTGAGAAGTGTTTGATCTCCACTGAAATTTAGCTACATCCTGAACACTCCTGCATGATCTACGAATATAAATGAACACTCACCGACGCACAATAATTTCTATTGTATGTTTTCGACAGGCGTATCACGAACCTCAATCCAACACAAAACTCATTTCTCAAGCTCCAGGCGAGAGAACTGCCACAAATTTCTATCCGTAGGTAATCACATTTTCATCTTCCCGAACATAAATAATATCGTGACATCTTCAGTGATGTCTAAAAATAGACACTGATCAGGAACGTGATAACGATTTTTTTTAGCAGTCACGAAAAAGTGATGTTATGGTTGGTGTGTTACCATACCCCAACTTGGAAATCTACTCAATCAAGAGTTTTGATCCACCAGGTGCCAAGCACTACAGTTAAAACGCTATTCGAAATTGTTCTGATATCACGTCATCAGGATAGCTGCGATTGTGGTGCACCCTTTTTGTGCTAATTTCTTAATCACAATGTCGATGGACTAATTATGATTCAGTATTTGAAAATAGAATCTAGTTATGAATAGAATTGGATTTAGTTTCAGTTCGCTAATGAGTCTTAGAGACGTTCTTTTTTCGTCTTAATGACGTACTTTAAACTTCCTTAACTCGTACAGTTTCCAATTAAATGTGCATCTTAAATACGTCTTTCTCAGGTCTTTCCATGTATGATGGATGTCATCTGAAAGATGTTTATATGACGCCTTGTTTTGGTTGTGAAATATTGTCACTGAGACGTCCACAAAAGGATTTTTCACGTTCCATTCATTTTGGATGTAAAATATACCTATATAATACCTTACCATAGATCTATGTTATCCAGGTAGGTATATTTCTCAAAAATTAAATGTGTGACTATGAAAAATAATCTATTTTACATACATTATGAAAACACATATATTATATATAAAAAATATGCGCCAGGTTGAGTAGATTCACTTTGGCTTCTTTGAATCAAATGCATTAGGTTGGTGGTAATTTCTGAAAAAAAATTAAGTCACGTTATATACGGTAACAGTGTATTCTTGCTTTGTTGTTATTTGGAATCGAAGGTCAGCATCAAAATGACAGATAATTGTGCAGTACTCAATGATATCATCAATGTATTAGAACTGAAGGTGAAGTAAGTGTATAAGTATAGCACATCGAAGATTTCCTCCATCACAAAAAAGCAGCATGGAAGGTATCCAAAGGAGATGCTTGTTCACTTCTAGAAGGTCTTGGGTCAACCACTCTAAGAGATGAAGTGATTGCAAAAGTAGAGAAATTCGTCGCCCAAATGTACAAGGTACATACATGTCTGTCAAAAGAGAATCGCACTTTCCATATTTTTCAATGTTATGTTTTTTTTTCTACAGGTTAGTCCAGAAATCGAATCAGGCGATGCTGCTCGGAGTTTTTTGTTTGGAGCTCTGAAAAAAACCGAGAATTTGCCTCTAACCTCCGATGTTCATGTTCTACACCTGCATATGGAAAGGTGTCACTACCAAGTGAGTAGGTTGGATATGGAAATGGCATTGCATATTCATATTTGACTCACACACTCTTCTTCTCACTCGTATGTGTACGTTTGACAGAGCGCCCATATCGCCAAACCAAGTGTTCCCAACCCGGAGAACTGTGGCTGGAGAGTTGACGGCACTAGTCTGGAACCAATCCTCATGAGACTACCTCCTATTCCCGCCTCTTACGACGCTCTTCGTGCATGTGGTTGCAATGGAATGTGCCAGACAAATCAGTGCCGGTGCCTGGAACAGCATTGGACCCATGCATGAAGATATGTAAATGCCGAGCACTGTGCTTAAATACGCATAGCGATTAGATTGGTTGATGTGTTTTTTTGTGTCATTTTCGCCTGAATAAAACGTTCTTCTTCCGATTGCTGTTTTCTTTTCGGAGAATGTGCGAATTTATTGTCCTTCAAAACATATAGTTTGATGTTCGAATCATGATCATAGGTCATTGGAAGCAGAAAATGTGTTCATATCCGTTTTTGCCGCCATCTCGAATATATCATTTCCGGTTAGGTTCTCGAGTTGGTAGCTTGATTTTTGATTTCAGCAGGGTCGAATTTGCTAGATATCACCTTTTCCTCAAATTTTATATAATTAACTTCTAAAACTTGATTTTTTCGATTTCTTGTCCTGACTAATATGTATAAATAATTTTGATGAGCTACATACATTGTCTTATACATAGTGTACATTGTATTCATGATATTTTTGAGTCCCTTTCATATATAATTCCATTGATAAAATTATTTGAAATTATATTTTTCGAGATATTTCAAAATTGAAATGTTCTTTCCTCCCATATCTCCGCCACTGTTCATTTTCAGGAAAAACTTACGGTGAACTTTTTCCTTCAAAATTTAGTGTAGAATATTCTTGTATTGAACAATTTTTGTGCTAATAAACCTCATAGTTTTCAAGATATATGCAAAAAACTGCAAAAAATAGGCCGCCATCTTGAATATCTCACATCCGGTCAAGATTTCGTGTTGGTAACAAGCATTTTTGGATTCAGCAGAGTCGAATTACTCATAAAACACCTTCAACTCAAATGTTATATGATTTGCTTCTAGACTCGTAACGGAAGCCTTTTTCGGAATGTTGACCTGAATATTAGATTCTAAGAAAAGCTAATGGCTTGATCATTATACAGGGAAAAAGAAAAATTACTCTTTCACCATTAACTTTCTAATGCCCTGTGGAGTGGCTAAACTTGAGTTCATAATGTTTTGGATTGAAGTGTGATCCCTTCTCAACATAATGGTATTTTATTCACGTCGATAACCACTTTTTTAGAGAAGATACAAGTGTTTTAAGAAAGTATGGATTTTTTTCATTTTTATCAATAAAAGTTCAGAACCATTCTTCAACCATCTGCAATACTTCTTTGTTCCTTCTTAACACAATGGTTCTTGATTTATGTCAATATCTTCTTTTTGAGAGAAGATACAAGTGTTTCAGGGAAATATGGAAAGAATCAATAATCCGGACCTATGGAGCATCCAAAGGGATGATTGAGAAATTTGATCTACTCTCCGAACAACGAGGATCTACTCGAGGAGGGCATACTGGCTATTTATTATATTAATAAATAGAAAAATGCCATACTTTCTTAAAACTCGTATCTTCTCTCAAAAATAAGATATTGACGTTAATCGAAAATTATAGTGTTTCGGAGGGATCATACTTCAATCCGAAGCATAACGATTCCAAGTTCATCCACTCAAATTTGCAACAGAGCTTTAAGAAATAAAGGGTGAAATGGTAACTTTGGTTTTCCCTGTATAATGATCAAGTCATCATCTTTCCACGGAAGCTGATATCCAGGCTAACATTCAGGAACAAGCATCTACGATTTGACAAAAATTTCACAAAAATCGGACATTGATTGAAAAAGTTACAGAATTGGAATTTGGACAAATTTTTTGGTGGCCGGTTTTGTTTTGCCGGTGAGTGTATGATGAAATGAGCGAACATATGGCTTTCTTTTCTTCTCAAGCTCCGAATTCATTCTCCTGTAAAAATAAAATCGATTCAATGGATCTCAAATTAGATATTTTTATCGAGAAGAAGTACCTTCGCCTTCGCCAATACTGAAAAATCAAAGCTCTAGACTAGAGTTGCGAATCGATTTGGATTGCCTTCATGCTTTATGATAAGTACAGGTCGTATATCAGTTCTTATTGAATATACGATGCACAGAGACAAGGTATGTCAATTTCTGAATAGAAATTGATTGAAATCCTTCTACTACCCGCATAATATGCCGTCACTTTGGTCGTATATAGATTCATGCATGATGGAGTGTAGGCTGCAGAGCTGTAATACTATCTATACATTGATTTTCTAAACATCTTATTGGAATTTATTGCACATGGCAAACTGGTTTGAAGCTTTTATCTTTAAAAATGAATGCGATTCAGCGTAACAAAGACTGATGCTTGTACAGTTAACAAATTATTTTGTCGTGGATATAGGACAAAACATTTTGTTTATTCGAATAATCATTCTTTTCCGTATAACCGTATAATATATCATGATATCTCAACCTAATTGAGTTTAAAAAATGTATTATGTTCAGCGGAATAGTTGTTGCTCTATATATAGAAGGATAAAGAGAGACACGGGAACGTAGAAAATCCAACCCCTACACACGATACCTAACTTTTGTGCCTTATCAGTAAGAAAATTAATGCAAATTGTTTGTCTAGTAATGCAGTAGAACATAAAGCCGAGTTTGGAGTGCGGTAAAATCGTGCTGAGAATTTTATTTTTAGTAGGTAGTTATTCTGGAGGCCTGTGGGTGATTTCAGGAGCGTATAATATTGATAATTTAGATCATTCATTCAACGTTAAAATTGCGGGTGTGCTTCTTTGTGCCCAAATTTCGATACTCCCACGTCGCGTTGTTCCCACATGTCGATAGGCCCACATTTCGTTAGCCCCACATTTCAATATTCATACATACATGAACGACGCACTGTTGCCAAATACTATCCTATATAAGTACAAGAATTCACTGAAACAGTCATTGTGGGCCTATCGACACATTCGAGGACACATTGTGTTACAACTGCATTTCGTTACACACTTATACATTGCATTACATCCACATTTCGGTAGGCCCAGATTTCTTCAGCCCCACCTTTCTATATTCCCACAGTCTCTGAACATAACCTGAAGATGCACTGTTGCCAACCGTAGGTGCAACAAAATGTGTCGTTAGGCCCACAATGTCTAGTACAATCGTCTAGCTATTGCATTTCTACGGAAGCGTAGAAAGGCCACTGTTGTGTGTATTTTATTTCATTTCCTTATTCAGACTTTAAAGTCTGAATTCCGACTTTTTTCTCTATAAATTCAGACTTTTTTTTCTGAATCAAGACTATTTTCTTTGAATTCAGAGTTTTTTCTCTGAATTCAGACTCATACTACACACTATATAAAAAAAATCATGATTACAATACTAGATATATATAGAAATCACATTTATCCAAATTTATTACGCCTGAACAGATCAAAGACTAGAACCTCTTACTATGGTTTGTTGACCTACAATAACTTGAACGAAGATATTAAAGACTTGAGTATGCCTCGTTTCAGATCTGTAATAAAATCGTTTTTGCTGAAGAATGCTTTTCAAAATATTCAAGACATTATTGATTCCATTAGAAATTTGAAAATCTGATACTAGTTTTGTATAGTGTACTATTTTTTGTTATATACTTTTATCTTTTTACAATATTTTGTGCCGTGTTCTATTGCAAAATGTTTTTTTTTGACGATGTAAGATTTCTTGTAAATTTTTAAACAGAATATATACTACTACTACTACTACTACTATATATACCGGGTGTAACAAGATCATGGACCACCAAACCATTTTGATGAACTTGAATTGGTGATAAATCGGGAAATTTTCCTTTTTTTACAGGATTCGATATTTTTAGCATTGGCGACTCAAATGGAAATTTAAAAATGAAATTAAGATCGATATTGAAGTTTGAAATGTCACTTATATAGTAAAATATCAAATGCTAATGCAACTGATAACTGAGCTATAGAAGACGGGAGGTGAAAAAATTGTTGTTCTAAAATTGTAAATTGTTCTATCCGTCATTCGGTTGCCCCCTTACGAGCAACCCTCAGAAGTCTTCGAAAGACTTGTGCGAGCAAGGAATGACGGGGGCCTTACCTTTTAACGTGTGATCCCAAACACTTGGTGGTGAGATGCAGGACCCTGTATAAACCATACTCTCGCTTTTTATATAGGGTATAAATATATTTGAATACACATCACATCATACATTATAGACGATTTGACTTACAGACCTGCATATAATAAAAAAAATAATCATCAACCCCACGAAAAATGAATGACATATAAAAGGTACTTCCTGAAATCAGTTCATTACCCTCGGTATTACCTAATGTGAATGTGTATTCAATGCATTCGATGCCGTCTGAATTCAGAGAAAAAAGTCTGAATTCAGACTTTAAAGTCTGAATGAAGAAATAAAATGAAATTCACACAACTGTGGCCTTTCTACGTCTTCGTACATTTTCCTCTATGACTCCCTGCATTTCAAATACGTGATATTAGCAAGGAAAATTCTTTCTGCATAAAAAAGGAGACTTCCTCTTCTGAACAATCTAACCTAACTCGGCCTACATGAACCCCCTTCCTGAAAAGTATATTCCTCTGGAAATTACTTGAGTGAGCAAAAGACACTATATTTTTTCAAAACAATCTAAACTAACTCGGCCTAAATGAACCTTCATATGGAAAGTATATTTCTCGATGAATTACTTGATGGAACAAGGAAGACTTATTTTCTAAACAATCTGACCTAACTCAGCTTAAATGAACCTTCTTTCTGAAAATTATATTTTTCGAAAATATTTCGCATAAAGTGAAGTATTTAGCAACAGTGCATCCTTTGGGTATGTTTGGAGCCCAGTATACACCCTTATGAAATAGGAGACTGTTTGAATATCGATATATGGTGCTAACGAAATGTAGGCGTAACGAAATGTAGGCAGAAAGCAATGTGGGTCTACCGAAATGTAGGTGTATGACAATGTCTCGATAGGCCCACAATGACTGTTCTGGCATATCCCAGCAAACATCAAACTACCGGGGAAGTCAGGCCTAGTGCAGGCGAGTCTGGGAAAGAAACGATGCCGGGGTATTGGTAATGGGCTGATTATTTTCCTATGCTAAGTAACCATCAGTTAAAAATACGATGGAGGCCTTGTGATGG